TTGCTCTTTGTTTTGCTGTAGTAAGGTTAATTATTTCCTGTGTTTTCTTGACAGAAGCTAATTTTCTTGGGTTGTATTTTCCCTTCCAGTGTCTTCTGTAATGCTGGATTTGTGTGTAGGTATTGTTGACATTTGTTTTTGTCATTGAATATCTTGTTTTCTCCGTCTATGAGGACTGAGAGTTTTGCAGGGTATAGTAGCCTGTGTTGACATCTGTGTTCTCTTAGGGTCTGCATGATATCTGTCCAGGCCCTTCTGGCTTTCATAGTTTCTGTTGAAAAGTCAGGTGTGATTCTAATGGGTTTACCGTTATATGTTACTTGGCCTTTTTCCCTTGCAGCTTTTAGTATTTTTCTTTGTTCTGTGTATTTACTGTTTTGATTATTATGTGGCGGGAGGATTTTCTTTTCTGGTCAAATTTGTTGGGTGTTCTGTAGGCCTCATATATCCTTATTGGCTTCTCCTTTAACTTGGGGAAATTTTCTTCAATGATTTTGTTGAAAATATTTTCTGGGCCTTGGAGAAGAGAGTCTTCTTTTTCCTCTATTCCTATTATTCTTACGTTTTGTCTTTTCATATTGTCTTGGATTTCTTGGACGGTCTGTGTCAGGAATTTTTTGGATTTAACACTTTCTTTGACAGATACGTCGATTTCTTCCATTGTATCTTCTACACCTGAGATTCTTTCTTCCATTTCTTGTATTCTGTTGGTTATGCTTACCTCTGTAGTTCCTGTTTTCTTCCCTAAATTCTTCCTCTCCATTATTTCCTCCATTTGTGTTTTCTTTAATTTTTCTAGTTCTATCTTCAGGTCTTGAGTTGTTTTGTTTACTTCCTTCACCTGTCTGCTTGTATTTTCCTCTTTTTCTTTTAGTTCCTTCAACTCTGTCTCTTTTATTTCTTTCAGTGATTTAATTATTTCTTCTCTGAAGGCCACAAGCTGTTTGGCTGCATCTTCTCGTATTTCTTCACGGATGGCCCTAATCTGCTTGTCTTTATCTTCCTCCATTTCTTTACGGATAGCCATGATCTGTTTGGTTTTATCTTCCTCTAATTCTTTACGTATTTTATTTGTTTCCTCTATTATCCTCTTCATCAACATAGATGTAAGGTCATCTTCTTGATTTTCTATTATGCTGCATTGTTCAGGACTGTTCGCCCCTGGATGGCTGGGTTCTGGAGATGCCATATTTCTCTCTCTTTTGTTGGTTGAGCCTTTACGCTGACCTCTACCCATTGGGCTAATTTAGGTGTTGGCTGTTAGTTTCTGTGCTTCCTGGAGTCCTGAGGTAGGGAGTATCCCCTTGGCCGGAAGATGATTTTTGCTGAAGGAGTCCTTCTCTGCTTTTTGGTTATGGTCACTGTATGGCCAGTGTTTCCCAGGAGTTGCCACTGCTCACCTCAGGTTTATAGCCCTGAGTAGTAGCTGTGGTCTATGTTAGGCAAGGGGGGATCTCCTCTTACCCATAGAATTTCTCAAGACAGCTGCCCCGCTGCTGGGTTTCTTGTTATAAATTTAGTGTGCTGCTGCTCACTAAATTTCCATGTACAGTCCTCTTGAAGAAACTGCTGATTCCCTAGCTGTGGGGTTTTCTCCCAACAGAGAAACTCAGTCTGTTATCCTGGGGCACACAGTTCTGTCCGGGAAAGTGGGAGGTGCACTCAGCAAGTCTCTGGGCCAGAGGCTGATTGCTCTGCTCTGGACCTGAAGAATGTGCACCTAGGTTGAGTTGGCGCCTGGGGGCGCTGCTCTGGTCTGGAGGCTGGGTGCCTCACTCTGGACCAGAAGCTGTGTGTCTCTGTCTGGGATGCCGGCTGCAGGCACTGCTCTGGTCCAGACGCTGTGGGTGCAGCCCTCTTGGAGGACCAGGGATTCCCACAGTTTTGTCAGTCTAGCTAGGGATAACTGGTTGATCCTTGGCACAGTATCTGAGGGCTGCTGTAATGGCTCTCTGGCTTTTGTAGGTCTGAGGATGCAGCTGTGTGTCCCAGTGCCCTAGGGGAACTCAATAATGGTGGCAGAGCACAGCGCTCCTGCCTGCACTAGAGTCTGCGTGAGTCCAGGAAGTGTTTTGGTGCTGGGTGTCCTAAGCGTTAGAGCTGCTGACCCCCTCCACTGGGAGTTTCCTCCTGCCAGAGACACGCAGTCTGGTGCCCTGGTGCCCTGGTGCCCACAGTTCTATCTGAGGTGGCGAATCAGGCGCGCAGGCAGGGCTCTGTGCAGGCGCCTGGGTCCCGGCTCTGGGTCCGGGTTGGCTCTTGGGGCACCCGCGGAACCCGAGTCTTTTCCAGGGGATGTCTGGGTAACCTGAGGTCGGTCCCAATTGTTTCCTGCTCTGTGGGGTTATCTCTCGACTGGGAAATCCAGTCTTTGACGTTGTGGGCCCACAGTTCAGTCTGGGACCGTGACCAGATTGCGCTGGCGGGTAGCTCTGGGCTGGCGACCAAGCGCCTGGTGGAACCAGGATCTCTTCCGAGGTTTAGCCGGGTGAGTTAAAGCTGATTGAATCCCCCACCGTGGGGTATCCTCTCACCTGTGAAACACAATCACTTGTGTTTTATGGCCGAGAGTTCTGATTGCTGGTCACTGTGCCAATCCTGTTGTGCTGCTCCTCAGAATGAGAGTCCTCCCGGCGCCGCCATCTTGCCCTGCCTCCTGAAATTCTTATTATAAAAAGATCAACGGATCTAATATTCTTGGAAACGACCATGCGCATGCACGTGTGCGCACACACACACAAATACTGAAATTACATCACTCCATTTCAAACAAATTGGTAAACAAAGAAATTTTCTTCATTTTTCCTGTGCAAGCATTCATCCCTGTCACTCAGGGGTGGAGGCCCCTGAAGGATTACCCACACAGTCTTCTTCCTCATGAATCCAGTCCTGTGACAGAAAGCACGTCAGCGTGGATTCAAGAAAAGTCAACCATCAGTAGGTGGCAGCAACTGGGGAGATTCTGGAGCTGCTGCTCTGCTGTGGGAAATCTGGCACTGGGGTGGGCTGTGGTTCCTGCCCTTTGCCTCAGGCCTCAGGTTTGGAGTGTGAGCCCCGAGCTGCCTGTCCCAGCTCCTTTGGGTGACACTTGCAGCACTGTCACTTTCCTGGAAGAAAGCCCACAGCTTTAATATCCCAGCACTTGGGAGTCAGAGGCAGGTGAATATCTCTGAGTCCAAGAGTAGCCTGGTCTACAAATTGAGTTCCAAGACAGCCAGGGCCGCACACCAGGAAACTCTGTCTTGAACCCCTACTTCCAAAACAAAACAAAACAAAACAAAACAAAACAAAACAAAAACTATGTCTATGCCCAAAGGAATCTCTCATGAGTATACAATAGAAGTGTGAGAGGGAGAACTGGTTATCACTGAGTCATAACTTCACAAATAACCACTGCTGCTTCCAGAAAGGCTCTACTTATAAGATCCCTAAGGATGACAGCAGAAATATTTGGATTGGAAATGGAAAATACTGTGGTTATAGTATTTTGCTTGGCACTAATAGTTGTCTCTATGTGAAAGTACCAATATATCATGCTGTTTTCCTTAATTGTGTACGATTAATACAAACTGAAAAAGAAAAAAAAATATATAAACAGGTGACCAGACTGTGTCTCCTTAGGAATGAAGACTGCATTCACTCCACTCAATTTGTTGTGGAGTTGCACAGGTCTCATCCCACTGATAGAGCAAATCTGTCCTCAAAACACCACGCCGTGTTCTTCTGAGCTATCAAATCCAAATGGCCTCGCTACTGGAAATATTATATATCTTATCTTCTCTCTCACAAGGAACTTCTGCAAAAATATATTTTTAAACATCTGAATTTGTTTTAATGCCAGTCAAAAAAAAAAGGATCAAGATTCAATAAAGCTGTTTCTGGAAAAGCAAATGTCTCACCAACCTGATCCTACAGCTTCCTGCATCCTTGTTTCTCACTGTTTCTCCCAGCTCTCCTTTCCTCCTTAGCTGTTTTAAGTCCGTGTAATGAGAGGGTATAAATGTACTATTGTGCGCTACAGAACACCCTGCAGCCTGACAACAGGGGCAGCGAGTGGAGAGCCTGCCAGCATGTACTATGTACTTACTTTGTGTCACCTACTGTGTGAGCCATCAGGAGAGCCAGGGGAGACCACTTCCCCACAAGCTCCTCCCTGCTAAGCAAGGACACCAGATGTCACGAAGAGAATGAGAAGGCTCTGGGGCAAGAGCACCGAGTGCTAGGGATGAGGTCACGGGACCTGGTGCTGGAGTCCAGGAGGTGGTGAGACTGTTGGGGACACAGAAAGACCACAGAAGCAAGACACTCTGCAAGACTTTGGGGCTTTGGTTTGATACAAGAGTGTGGGCAGAACACTTTTTTTAATATTATATTCACAGATTTTATATTATAAACAGAACACTTGCAGATTTCTGAACAGCATGAGAAGCCCTTTGCTGCCTGCCTCAGCACGGCATGTCAGGAAGCAGGAGGTAAACCAAGCTGTGACACCAACTCAAGGGAAACTGCTCACCCTCAGTGGGCTTCTGCGCACAGTTCATAACTTGGACAGAAGTTCTTTGGCTTGACTGTCCAGTTTCTCAAACCACAAAAGAGGAGAAAACAGAAGATGAAAAGGAAGGCCTGTGTCTTGGAGCTGCAGATTTGGGAACAGGACAGATGAAAGAAGGCAGCGTGGATCATGGATGGGGGGGGGGAGGCTGGAGCAGGCAGTCCCAATCAGGGGTACCTGTGAGTTGATGCCACTAATGACTCAGAACTCATGAGGTAGGTAGCTCAGTCAGTCAGCTGTTATGTTATCTTCATCATTAGTGCTGGATACAGCAGACGAGAAAAGCAAGGCCCAGGGAGAAGCTCAAAGCTTCAGAAGAGCCTCCATCAAGACTTGCAAGTTTTCAAACTCTAAGCCCAGTGTTTTGGAGTTATTTCACACTATTTCAAATGTTGAATTATGTTTAAACAAGGAAGTCAAGTGAATGTGACTATAAGAGTTGCAATTTGTGCTCGCTTTGGCAACACATATAAACAGTACAGAGAACAATACAGAGAAGATTAGCATGGCCCCTGCACAAGGATGACATGCAAATTGGTGAAGTGTTCCATATTTTTCAAACAGGACAGACCTTGGAAGAGGGAGAAAACAGGAAACAGGACAGGAGCCTACCACAGAGGGCCTCTGAAAGACTCTACCCAGCAGGGTATTAAAGCAGATGCTGAGCCTGATAGCCAAACTTTGGGCAGAGTGCAGGGAATCTTATGAAAGAAGGGGGAGATAGAATGTCCTGGAGGGGACAGGAGCTGAACAAGGAGAGCAACAGAGCCAAAATATCTGAGCTCAGGGGTCTTTTTTGACTCTGATACTCCAACCAAGGACCATGCATGGAGATAACCTAGAACCCCTGCACAGATTTAGTCCATGGCAGCTCAGTGTCCAAGTGGGTGCCCTAGTAAGGGGAAAAGGGGCTGTCTCTGACATGAACTCATGAGCTGGCTCTTTGAGTTCAACCTGAGGTGGGAACAGCCTTACCAGGCCACAGAGAAAGACAGTGCAGCCAGTCCTGATGAGACCTGATAGACTAGGGTCAGATGGAAAGGGAGGAGGACCTCCCCTCTCAGTGGACAGGGGGAGGAGCATGGGAGGAGAAGAGGGAGGTAGGGCAAGATTGGGAGGGGATGAGAGGGGGTCTACAGCTGGGATACAAAGTGAATAAACTGTAATTAATAATTTTTTTTAAAGTTGCAATTTAAGAATGTCTAAATTCAAATATAAGTTAAAGTGGTGGCTGATGAAGTAAAGGTAGCAAAGAAGCTGTCCTTCACCACTGATAACTAGAAGGGACCAGGGGTGTTAAGGAACTTGGCTTTACGTGTGTGTGTGTGTGTGTGTGTGTGTCTGCGTGTGTGTGTCTGCGTGTGTGTGTGTGTGTGTGTATGTGTGTGTATGTGTGTGTGTTTGTACAGAAACGTGTCATGGAGGGACACATGTATCATGAGCAACATGCAAGTGGAGTCATTAGACAACTGTGGGGGGTCAGTTCTCTCCTTCTAACTCTGTGTGGTTTCTGGAACTAAACCCAGGTCACCAGATTTGTTCATTAATCACCTTGACCCTGTGAGCCATCTCAAACCCCCTCTGCTTAAGTGTTCTTTGTTGCCAGCTGACAGCAAATGGAATCCGCTAAAATAAACCTGTGGAATTTCCTCAAGCTTTTCTGCTGACCTCCTCATAAACATGGCATTGAACCTGACCTTTTCTTGCAGTCTGTCCAAATCTCTGCCCACCTCTCTGTTGTTACTCTGTAACCAGATCACTACACTTAACTCCCATATGTAACTACAAGGCTTTCTCTGCTCTTTCAACTCTTGACCTTTCCCTAAGTATATACTATTTCCTTATCAGCCTCCTGCCTGCAATATACAGACTCACCCTTCACACGTGTGGTCCTCCAATTAATAAAGCACAGACAAAATCTCCAGGCCCTGCTTACCTGATTGCATATCCCTTGTTAGATTTCAAGATCATAGACTGAAATGATTATATTTCATAGACACTATGACCAAAGCCATTTGCTTGTCTGCTTCTGAAACAGCTTTTGTGGCTAGGACAAATGCAAGCTCATCTCCCTAAAAAACATCATGTTGCCTGCAAAACCAAAGGGTAAACTGTGGTTGGTTTTCCTTTTTATAACAGTCGGTGGGAATCTGGTTTGGCATGGCTGTGCCTTCTGGGTTGGCAGACAACCAAGCACATACTGGACGGAACATGGATTTCACATGTCATTGCAACCTTTTCCATGTGTAGTTAAGCTGAGTGTGGGGCTGCTTTCTGGGGGGAAAAGTATCCTGCCTTAATTTCATATCTGTTTGAGCAGAACCACAGCTTTGAGGTGTTTACATAATTTTCTTGTAGAGCTGTGAAAAAGGAGCTATATTTGTAATCATTTTCAAAGATGAAAGGGATATTTGCTGAAGCGTGTAGAGCGTTTAAGGAAAAAAAAATCTTCATTTATTTCCAGCTCTCCATTAAAACATGGATTTGGGGGCTCGGTTTTGTTTTAAAATAACCCAGGCACACAAAAGTACATTAGGAGATTTTATAGTTTTGATGTTCCCTGGAAGCCTTTCCTGAGACTGAGAAAGACAAAGCCCACATCTGTTAGTGTAAAGGACATTTTTGTTTACAGCATTTTGGGGCTAATGACAAAAACTGATATAAGCCAGGAAATTTAGAGGCTAGAGGTGAGGCTTCATGCTAAATGTGTGTTCCAGGACTCCTTGTTTTCCATGGAGTCTGGAAAAGACAAAGTTGGCTCTAATTTTTGACTATCTGGCTTCTTTCAAGCATTGTGACAGTTCAGGCTTTTAAACACACGTCTTTGAACTTCCTTAATTTTAAAAAAGTGACCCACAGGTTAATGAGTGCTGTAAGATGCTTATTGTTTAAGCAAAACAAATTGGCTCATCCACCTCTTGATGTCTGCTCTGAGGACCGTGGGGTAGACACGTTGGGTGCTCTGAGGGCTGAAGCTCCCTCCACACAGGAAGCCCAGGATACTTTCATTCTGTATGCCACACTGACCATTCTCAAAAGTCAAAGTTAGTAACACTCCCTTTTATCCCTTTATTAAAAATGTCCCCACATTAAGCTGCTTTTAGACTTGGATGTCTGCCAAATTTCCATTGCTAAGAAAATAATACCCAACTCTATGAAATGTGGATCAGTGCGTAACAGGTGATAAATTAAAGGCAAGTTGGGTGGATCGAGTTTCACACAAGCCTTGGTAAATGAGACAGAACCTAGTGAGTGTTTTTCCATAGGAAGTGGAACAAGTGAATACAGAATTCTTGTGGTGAATTCTTGTTCCGCTCCACCGCAACAGTTTTGTGAGAAAGTTGCTTCATGTTTACAGTTTCATACAGGCCTCTGACTAGACCTGGCAGAGCATTTTTGCACACAGCACAAGATCTTTATGATTCTGATAACAATGTGCTTTCATATCTGCTACAATCAAGCATCTTAACACATGGACAGGACATACCATGCTGTCAGAGGGGTTTCACTTTATGTGTCTTGCTAAGAGTCCACAAAAGTCATCTACAGAATGAATCATTTGCTAACTTTGAAACTGGGTCTCACTATGTAGCCCAGGCAGGCATCAACCTTTGAATCTTCCTACCTCAACCTCTGGAATTGCTGGGGCTCCTGGTGTTGCTGGTGTGTGCCACCAAGAATGGCCTATCCATGTGCAACACACTCTTAAAGGCAGAGGCATATCGGTTTGGGGCATGGCACAGAAAGCTTTTCCAGAGGGCAAGAGAGGCGTGAGTGAGTGCTAGGGAATGTAGACTCCTGAGTCAGGGAATAAGGAAACGATGCCTGTCTAACTTTGAAGACTAGTCTTGGGCTGCATCCTCCTCTGACCATCCCGAGGGCTCCTTCCAATATAGACATTTATTCCCTCCAAACATTTAGAATTAAAAGCCCTTTCCATTTGTACTTTCTCAACTGTGTGGGATTGTTAAGTCAAATGTTAAAAAGATGGTTTTATTCAATTGTATTGTTCTCATGAGATGTGAATTAAGTTTGTTGTAAAAGCATCATTTATGAATCAACACACCATAAAGTTATCAAACCATCCTGTACAATAATATTGGTTCAAGGTGATCTAAATTTTTTTCTGTGTATGTGTGTGTGTGTGTGTATGTGCATGTGTGTGCTGTGTGTGTATCAGAAAGCAGATATATGTAAGGCAGGACAGGTCCTATGTCTCTGTCAGTAAGAAGTAGAACATCTGTGATAGGTCACACAGATACAGGAAGCAGAAAACATAGCATCAGTATCTAACTGGCTCCAACCTTCCCACTCAATACAGACACAGTTAATAGTGGTCAATCATAGAAGTACTTCGGGGAAGGCGTCTAATAATGCACCTCTTCTATAGCATACCACTTGTTTTTTGTTACTGGTGTTGTTTGTTTGTTTGTTTGTTTGTTTTAGCATCTCCTATTAGTTAAAATGCCCATGGAAAGACTCGTCAAGCAACAGTTTCTACTATAGTATTTACTCTTAACGTGTAACTTGCCTGAAAGACAAAAAAGGGGAGAGGTACAGGAAGCTCTTTATATCACCAAGAAACAATTTAGCCATTTCCTTGAAGGTCTCTTTCATTCCCAGCCTCATGTTTCACCAAGAAGTGGGTTGAGTCCTAAACACAAAATCTCAGGTAGACTGTTGATGAGGAGGTCACACAGAAAGCAAGCCTTATGAGAGGAAAGCAAGGAGAAAGAGGAAGGGAGGGAAAGGGGGAAAGGTGTGAGAGAAGGCCTACAGTTGAGAGGAGAGAAGGGAAAGGAGACAGGAGGGAGAACCCGCTGCAATGATGGTTCTCACACTGGTTGCTCCATTAGAGTCATACAGGTAGCTTATCTAAAAAACCCTATGCCCCAGAATCTTATGGCATTTGTCCAGATGGAACACAGAGGCTGGCATTTCCAAAAACATGTACAAGTATTTCGCACAGATAGCTAGAACTCAGAACAACCCTCCTGACTCTTTGAAAGACACAAAAGATGTCTAAGGGAGTAACACCTACCCTGAAGACTTTGCAGTCTCGTTTGGAAGAAGGCTCAGAATATTGTAAGTAGAGAGCATGCTGTCGAATTCCACCATGCTTTGAAGAAAGCCAGGGCCTGGAGGTTAGAGGGGAAGATCCTGAAAGCAGGGCAATGGGGCTGAGACAACACCACATCTCCCTTTCCTCTCCCTTTGTAACCCTCTCCCTCGAGAAACTGCTGTGTGGATTTCAACTCAGGAACTTCACTTCCTGCTCTTCCCAGTATTGGCATGCCCTGAATTCTTCAGGTACAATCATGTCACATCTCCACCTAAAACTTTTTGAAGGCTCCTGAGTGCTGATAGAACAGAGTCTCAACCTCTGTGATTACTCTGAAGTAGCTTGGCTTCAGATGGGTACCTTTCTCAGGGCATTCATCAGTCCCCAGCATCACTGGCTTAGATTTTTGTTGCGCAAACATCCTGATACCAAACTGGTTTGCTCTTGGGGAATTCGTGTGTTCGTAATCCCAACAAACATGAGAACCTCTGAAAA